AAAAAAATTCAAACTTTTTCTTTAGATGCTATTTCATGGTCATGAAGATTAGCTTCTATCCAAGTTTCATAACAGTCTATGAAGGTTTACAAATTTGTCATGTCAAAAAAGTTTAGTCCCAGACAGTCTGTAAATGTTAACTGTAAAAAACTAAGTCCATCTATCAGAAAAATACTGAAAATGAAAAAAATCTATTTTCAAAAGTTTGCTTCAGACATCATCTCTCAATCATAATAAAAGCTTTTGCCAAAGTTCTATGAAGGTTTGATAAAGTTATGGATGTGTAACAAACTTTAACCCCAGACAGTATCTATTCGTTAAATGTAACAAAAACTAAGCTCATTTATCAGTTAAATACAGAAAAATGGAAATAAATATTTTCAAAATTTTGTCCTTAATACTGCATTTTGGCCTCTGTCCAAAATTCCAGAAATTCCATGAAGGTTTGACAAAGTTATTGATGACTGATAAACTTTAACCTCAGACTGTATCTACTTGTAAGCTGAAAAAAAACCAAAGTCCATTTATTAGTAAAATACAGAAAAATAAAAATAAATATTTTCAAAATTTTGATACTGTCGTTTGGTTATAAACAAGCTTCAGTCAAATTTCCTAAAATCCCATGAAGGATTGACAAAGTTATTGATGACTGAAAAACTTTAGCCTCAGACTAAATTTGAATGTTAACTGTAAAAAACACCAAGTCCATTTATCAGTAAGATATGGAAAAAAAATTTTGCTCTGAATACTGTATTATGGTAAAACAAAAGTGTCTGTCCAAATTTCCTAAAATTCCATGAAGGTTATGACAGAGTAACTTTTTTAAAATCCTGATAATTTAAGTCATGTTGACATATCTGTAGATCTTGTCCTGATGATCATTTTTGCTTTTTAAAGATTCAATCTACATTTGTATCTATCATACATTTCAAGATAATAGACAAAAATGAAAGAAAATTGTAAAAATCATCTTTAAAGGGCAATAACTCCAATAAAGAGTAGACTGAAGATTTCTGCAATGTGGCTTATTTGAAGATCTTGTCTTGCTGATCGATTTTGCAAACTAAAGTTTCTATCTATCGATTATAATTATCAAGATAATAGGCAACAAGAGGCTGTCAAGTGACAGCAAACCGGATTTTCCTGCAGAGGTCGAATCCTGAACAGTTGAGCAAGTATGGATACAACATTTAAGCTTAAAACAGCTCTGAATTTGGATTGTGATTGAATATTTAAAATAGATTATTATCTAATTTATAATGAAAATGATATTTGCAAATCTGAACCCCAAACAGGATCATGTAAAAATTAAACATTAACACACACAACAAAAATAAAATACCACATAACAACTGTGACATCTACCTTCATAACACACATGACTTAAAAAAAATAGTTATAAAGAAATTTTGATGTTATCATTACTGGTTCATGGAATAAGTTTGAGTTATTTCCCTTTGAACAGAAATATGGTTTAACATAGTACTCTAACATTAGATATGATTTAATCACTAAAAATAGTTCTCTAAAATAAGATATGATGTAACACAATGTATATCTATTTTCAAATTATAATCAAATATAATTAATAGTTCCAAATATTTTTTCTTTCATTTGTGACAAACTAATATAGATCTGCAAATTATCTATCAATGTCAACAACTTTAAATGTAATGAAATATATCCTTTAATAAAAATAGATTATTATCTAATTAAAGGAGTTCACTTCATAAAAAAATAGTATATATATAGCATTCAGAAAATTAGTTTATACAGAATAACAAACAAACCTACCACAAAATTCTTCAAACAATTTACCAAAGAAAAGAAAAAAAAATCCAAAATGTCATTTATCATTTATACAATGTCTTTTAAAAATCTTTTTAAAAATGAGTTATTTCCCTTTGAACAGAAATGGATTAATTCATCAAAAATTGAATTCTTGGAAAAGGGCTATAACTGAACAACGAGAAAATCTTAAATCCTGAAAATTGAAGTAAGTCAAATATTATTTTATTCATTTTTGATTTTCAGGCTTGCTGGATCAACCAATATTGTTCCAGTATTTTGGAAAAATAAAATTATTTCCCAACCTAACTACCCACACCTGGCTTGGCAGGGTCGGGATTGGGGAAACAAACAGTATATTAATTTAGGCCTTATTTAAAGAAGCACCTCATATGATTAGTAGTTCTCAACCAAAATAAAAGTTAATGTATACTAACACTTAAAATGTTACATTTGCATGTGATGAGTAGTCCTCCACCAACAATGAAAGTTAATCTATTCTAACATTAAAAGTGCTATATATACATCAAAGTAAAATACTGCTCAGCTTTATATCATAATATATAAAACCAGGGATCTCCATGACCTGTTTTATGATGGCGCACCGCCATCGTTAAAATATCTTCTGTCATCGTCAAATAATTCCCGCAATCGTTAAATTATCTTCCACCTTCGTCAAATGATCCCCGCAATTGTCAAAATTTGTTTTCTTTTCGCTAGCCACCACCATTTTTGTTAGCAATTATAATCAATTGCATGTAATTGCATAATCCTTATTGTATCATAGTCCAAAGGGTCCTCCTGATTACAGTTTTAAAGCCCTGAGGGATTTCCGGCTAAAGATCCCTAATCACTTGTACAGGTAGAACGACACACCTGACAGGAGAACATTACGTTATTATTAAATTATGTTTCAGCAAATGCTAATGAAAATTTAGATTAAAGAAGAAATTTTAAATCCAGTTACGAAGAAAAAAGTGTAACAAGTCTAGCACGTGCTTTTATATAAACGTATTTCATTGTATTTACACTTTTGGTATTTAGCTGAATTTTGTCTCTGAATGACCTTAGATCTGCTCCGAACAACCTTCTGACGTCAAGCAACAATCACTTTTGAATTGTGACGTCACATTTTCTAAATTGTGATGTTAAATTTTATGGGAACTTGTGTGATTTTATGCAATGGCGGACAAATTTGCATACAAGTGTAAGTACGTCTATTGACTTACGCAATCAACATCCCCCTTTTTAAAAGAGTACAAAATAACACGTAAAACAGAACATAATTTCATACCAAATAACACGAGTACAGCAATTATTGATAATATTGAATCACTTTGCAAGTTTAAAGTAAATACATGAATATTAACTGCCACTTGATAATTTCGTATCGTAATTCTGAATTCATTTCGTAGTTTAGAATCAATATTAAACATCTGGCTTTCATTCAGATTCGAAAGATGCATGTTGCATAGTCTATTACTATGATAGAAATTTACAATTTAAAGTAATTAAAACCATTTAAGTTGTAAACGTTTGCCCTCCAAATCTTTCTTCAATGTTTTACAAAACGGGTACGAAACTTCTTTTTGTGATGCTGCAAATTGTCAATACCGGTTAATGACATCTGAATTTGACAGTGAAAAAAAGATTTCCCCGATTTTTAAGTCCTTAACAATTACCAAAATAGCAAGAAAACGACTTGGGAACCTTAAGTACTGCTTGTGGTCATTCTTGACTAAGGGGGAGCCATGGAAGTTTGACATGGGAATTGTTACAAATGACAATTCATGAAAATATTGGTTATTCTATAATGAAATAAATATAATAAGCCATATAGTCTGTTCATCATTCCTTACATAGAAATGGAGGAATGAAAAACTTTCGATCACGCCATGTTATAGACGCAGGGTTTTGTCATGTTCAAAGTTCCTCCAGCGTTAAATTTTCATCCTTTGAGATCCCTGACAAAACACTTCCTCACTAATTACAGTTTTTTAGTACGTCAATATACACCAAAGGAAATTATGATGCTGCAAGCTCAATGGTTTAACTATCATCTTCAAAAACAGTATAGTGTGTCATTATATGCATGCTCACTGTCACATAAGTTGAAAGTGGGTTGGGTATTTTAAAAACGTCAGGTTAAACAGCCAATTAGTATAGAGTGGTTGTAGTAAGAAAACCAGGACGGGTTCAAACTGAAAGATTTTGAAAGCAGAGAAAACTGTGCACCTTATAATCAGCATGACTTTATCAGATGACAATATGAATAATAAAAACCCAGGCTAAAAATAAGGCGTAGGTTCTTTCCAATTTGTTAGCCGGCATGGCGTAAAAACCACAAATCAAAGAATTCAACTTTCTAATATAGGACAATGGTGTTAAAAATTACACAATTTCTGGCCCTTTTGTTTTCCACATAATTAATATAACCAATAATTAACAAGTTCTGGGTCAACGGGTTCAAACAGAAAGATTTTGAAAGCAGAGCAAACTGTGCACCTTATAATCAGCATTACTTTATAAGATGGCGAATACTAAAAATCCAGGCTTAAAATAAGGCGTAGGTACTTTAATTCAGTGACAGACCTGCGATGTTGCGGGTGTGTTCTAGTATGTATAAATATATAGGCGGGTATACAGTTTGTCCTACCTATGTGCTATTTCCCTTTGCAAAAAATATCGAAAATTTGCGACAATGTTGGTAATTGGAAAATGACATATTACAGAAAAATACTGATATCAAATAAATAAATTCTTGCCAATTTCTAACTAACAAAGAACAGACTGTTTGTCTGTTAAAACTATTAACATTAATGCCTCAACATTCACAAAGAATTCAATGACACAACATTTTTGCATTATTCGATATATGGGATGAAAATTTGTACCAAGATGATCTTCAATCGTGTGGATTTGGATCCATAAATATGCAAAGGACAATAATGAAAATGGTCAATGTTGTCTGTTCTGGAACAATGAAACTTCTGTTTTTCATGATTATTTCAAAACTGGAATTTAAATGATGTGCATGTGTTTTTGTTCAGTGTTTTTTTTAAATTTTCTATTCCATTTATTGAGATGAACATTTTCAGGTCAAGTTTTCTATGATGTAATGACTTGTTTATCATTAATAAGGGTTCATCAAACAGCATGTGAAATGTATATGATGCAAAGCTATGTATATGTACATTTCATTATACACTTACTTTCCAGGTGTGATAGGCACATGACACACTCCATACCCTCTTACAACATCATTTCCAAAGAAATCAATACCATAGGCATGAACTATTAACTGCGGCCCTGTAAAATAATTTGCGCAATGTTAATGGAGATTGAAATAACTTTTTTCTTTAGAGTAAAAGGTGAAAATCTAGATAATAGCAGTTTGTCAAAATATCATACATTTTTGTAAGTGAAAAATGTACAGTAATGTGATATCAACAAGATAGCTAAATGTTTCCAGCGCTGTATAAATGAGGAATTAAATTGTGTGTCGCAAAATGCAATTTGACATTGCGGTAAGATAGTCAAAATATGTTTGAAATCCCATTACTCCAGAATTAGAGGCTCTTAAGATCCTGTGTCGCTCACCTGCATCTTCAACAAAGGCAACTTTTTTGTAAAAATCATCATTAAAGGGCTATAACTCCATAAAGAGTTAACTGAAATTTCAGTCATGTTGGTTTATATGTAGATCTTGTCCTGCTGGACTGGGTTGTTTAAAACTTTTATCCACTGAATAACAATTGACCAGTGAATAAAGCATGTTGAAATCAGTGTAACTTGTCCAGTGGACATGTCTTATCCATTGGTCAACTGTTTTGAGCAACTAAGTCCTGATCAATATGCTTTTTCAAGTTTCTATCTATTCATTATAGTTTTCAAGATATTAGGAAAAAACATGGTAAAAATCATCATTTAAGGGCAAAAACCCTTATAAGGAGTTGACTGACGATTTGGCTATGTTGATGAGAAAAACTCACTTGGCCCACCTGGTCCAGGTGATGTACAAATTGTCAAATCGAAATGATGGTATAATACAATTAACTACACAGGATGGCAAACAATCCTACCAAGTATGAGAGCTTTCTGTCAAATGATCTCAGAGTTGTTGTGTTCACAAGGTGAACACTATTACAATATGTACTCCAAACAAGAGGCTCTCAAGAGCCTGAATCGCTCACCTGTATTTCAGAGGAGAAGATTTTTAAATGTTAGCAAACTTGATGAACAAATTGTGTAAAATTGTCTTTAAAGGGCAATAACTCCTTAAGGGGTCAATTGACAATTTTTGTCATATTAACTTTTTTGTAGATTTTACTTTGCTGAACATTATTGCTGCTTACAGTTTATATATATCTATAATAATATTCAAAATAATAACAAATAAAATGCTTCGCAGGGCACAGCTTGATACAACCGCAGAGGTCGAACCCTGAACAGTTGGGGCAAGTATGGACACAACACTCAAGCTTGATACAGCTCTGAATTTGGATTGTGATTAAATATTTGACACAGCATAGCTTTCTGACACAGAATGAATGTGGTCTAAGAACTTAAAAATTTTAAATTGGACATTCACCTATTATGGTCCAATATCCAAAATCTAAATACATGGTTAGATTCAGCATATCAAAGAACCCCATATATTCAATTTTTGATGAAATCAAACAAAGTTTAATTTTGGACCCTTTTGACCTCAATGTGGACAAAGTTGATAACGGGGCCCAAAAATCAAAAATCTAAATACATGGTTAGATTCAGCATATCAAAGAACCCTATATATTCAATTTTTGTTGAAATCAAACAAAGTTTAATTTTGGACCCCGATTTGGACCAACTTGAAAACTGGGCCCATAATCAAAAATCTAAATACATGTTTAGATTCAGCATATCAAAGAACCCCAAGAATTCAATTTATGTTAAAATCAATCTAAGTTTAATTTTGGACCCTTTGGACCTCAATGTAGACCAATTTGAAAACGGAACCAAAAATTAAGAATCTAAATACACGGTTAGATTCGGCATATCAAAGAACCCCAATAATTCAATTTTTAATGAAATCAAACAAAGTTTAATTTTGGACCCTTTGGACCTCAATGTGGACCAATTTAAAAACGGGGCCCAAAATCCAAAAACTTAAACTTAAATACTTAGATTCAGCATATTAAAGAACCCCAAGAATTCAAGAATAAAACCCCATTGAAATTGGTCAAAAAATAAGCAATTTATACGAAGTATCTTCTTTTGCACAATACTGTGCAATTGAATATTTCTTGCTATTGCGCAATATTGTACAATCGACAATTTCTTGCTATTGCGCAATATTGTGCTATTGGATATTTCTTGCTATTGCGCAATACTGTGCAATTGAAGATTTCTTGCTATTGCGCAATACTGTGCAATTGAAGATTTCTTGCTCTTGTGCAATACTGTGCAATTGAAAATTTCTTGCTATTGCACAATATTTATTATATAATAATTTACACATCCTGTTTGGTGTGTATCTCCTACAATGTCATTATTATTTGCTTTTAAATATAAATCAGAAATAACCAACTTAAAATGGAAAATTTTAAAAGAAAAAAAAAAGGAAAAAAAGAAAAAAAAAGGAAAAAAAAATCCCCCCCCCCCAATTTTTTGAACCCCCTTATGATTCATCACCCCCAAACTCAATCCCAGCCTTCCCTTTGTGGTATGGTACCTTGCAGTACAATTTCATAGAGATCCATACAATTGAACACAAGTTATTGTCTGGAAACTAGAAAAATGCTTATTTTTGGCCCCTTTTTGGCCCAAAATTCCTAAACGTTTAGGGCAATTACCCCCAAACTCAAACCCAGCTTTCCCTTTGTGATATGGAACCTTGTTGTACAATTTTAGAAAGATCCATACACTTACACACAAGTTATTGTCCTTAAACTAGAAAAATGAATGTTTTTTCCCCTTTTTGGCCCCTAATTCCTAAAATATTGAGGCAATTACCCCCATCATCAATCCCAGTTTTTTCTTTGTGGTATGGTACCTTGCAGTACAATTTCAGAGAGATCCATACACTTGAACACAAGTTATTGTCTGGAAACTAGAAAAATGCTTATTTTTGGCCCCTTTTTAGCCCCCAATTCCTAAACGTTTTGGGCAATTACCCCCAAACTAAATTCCAGCTTTTCCTATGTGATATGGAACCTTGTAGTACAATTTCAGAAATATCAATACACTTTCACACAAGTTATTGTCATGAAACTAGAAAAATGCCCCTTTTTTGGACCCTAATTCCTAAAATTTTGAGGCAATTACCCCCAAAAATCAATTCCAGCCTTCCCTTATTGATATGGAACCTTGTGGTACAATGTCAGAGAGATCCATACACTTACACACAAGTTATTGTCTGGCAGTTACAAAAATGCTTATTTTTGGCCCCTTTTTGGCCCCTAATTCCTTAACTGTTGGTACCATAACCCCCAAAATCAATCCCAACCTTCCTTTTGTGGTATTGAACCTTATGGTAAAATTTCATAGAGATCCATTCACTTTAACTAAAGTTATAGTGCGAAAACTAATGTGTCTTCGGACGACGACGACGCCAATGTCATACCAATATACGACCGCAAAATTTTGTTAAAACTACCAATTTGGTGGCAGTAACCCAACAATAGGTTGTTCGATTCGTCTGATAATTTCAGGGCCGATGGATCTTGACCAATTAAACAATTTTACCCCATGTCACATTTGCTCTAAAAGATTTAGTTTTTGAGATATAAGCCAAAAACTGCATTTGACCCCTATTATGTTCTATTTTTAGCCATGGTGGCCATGTTTGTCGATGGATACAAACTTCGGATACAATTTATAAACAAGATACCCTAAGGAACATTTAGTTAAAGTTTGAAGGTAATTGGCCCAGTAGTTTCAGAGGAGAAGATTTTTAAATGTTAGAAAACTTGATGAACAAATTGTGTAAAATTGTCTTTAAAGGGCAATTACTCCTTAAGGGGTTAATTGACAATTATGGTCATATTAACTTTTTAGTAGATCTTACTTTGCTGAACATTATTGCTGCTTACAGTTTATATATATCTATAATAATATTCAAAATAATAACAAAAAACTGCAAAATTTTGTTAAAACTACCAATTCGGCGGCAGCAACCCAACAATGGGTTGTTCGATTCGTCTGAAAATTTCAGAGCTGATAGATCTTGACCAATTGAACAATTTTACCCCATGTCAGATTTGCTCTAAAAGCTTTAGTTTTTGAGATATAAGCCAAAAACTGCATGTAACCCCTATGTTCTATTTTTAGCCATGGCGGCCATGCTTGTCGATGGATCAAAACTTTGGATACAATTTATAAACTAGATACCCTAAGGAACATTTAGTTAAAGTTTGAAGGTATTTGGCCCAGTAGTTTCGGAGGAGAAGATTTTTTAAATAGTTTACGACGACAGACGACGATAGACGACAACAGACGACGACAGACGAGGACGACAGAAGATGGACGCCAAGTGATGGCATAAGCTCACATGGGACCCTTCGGGCCCTGGTGAGCTAAAAATTGTCAGAATACCAAATCTCTTTGCAAAAATAGTTGAATCATTATGACAGTATAATATTGTCACCTTCACATCATGATAGCTTTATGTAAAACTTTCTCAGAGGAGTTAAGTTCATAAGGTGTTGTTTTCACAATACTCCAACACATGGTCAAAGTCCCATTACTCCAGTAATAAATTGCTTCGCCCAGCGTAGATGGACAAACTTAAGTTAGAGAACGGAAACGAAAAATTCAGCCATTTTTCCATTTGTAAAGAGGCATAACTCTAGAACGGTATAGGTCACGCCACCCAAATTAAAACATGATCTGTGTTTTGTTGTAATAAGCATTGTGTATAAGTTTCATAACATTTGGTTGAGGTAAACTTAAGTTAAAGAACCGAAACGAAAAATTCAGCTATTTTTCCATTTGTAAAGGGGCATAACTCTTGAAAGGTAGAAGTGACGCCACCCAGCTTCAAACTTGATCTGTGTTTTGTGGTAATAATCATTGTGTATAAGTTTCATAACATTTGGTTGAGGCAAACTAAAGTTAGAGAACAGAAACCAATTGCGGGACGTACGGACGGACAAGGGTAAAACTTAATGCCCCCTCAGCTACGTCGGGGGCATAAAAATAAATAGACAGATAAGTAACTGCAATTGTATAATGATATTTTTTCTAGATCTGTTTGATTTTATGTTATAAGATTAATAAAAAGCTCCACTAGGCGCAGCTTGATACGACTGCAGAAGTCGAACCCCGAACAGTTGGGGCAAGTATGGACACAACATTCAAGCTTGATACAGCTCTGAATTTGGATTGTGATTAAATATTTGACACAGCATAGGTTTCTGACACAGAATGAATGTGGTCTAAGAACTTAAAAATTTTTAATATACCTATTATGGTCCAATATCCAAAATCTAAATACATACACGGTTAGATTCAGCATATCAAAGAACCCCAAGAATTCAATTTTTGTTAAAATCAAACTAAGTTTAATTTTGGACCCTTTGGACCTTAATGTAGACCAATTTGAAAACGGGACCAAAAATTAAGAATCTAAATACACGGTTAGATTCAGCATATCAAAGAACAGCAATATTTCAATTTTTGATGAAATCAAACCATATCATTATTATTTGCTTTTATATATAACTCAAAAGTAACCAACTTAAAATGGAAAATTTTAAAGAAAAAAAAAAGGAAAAAAAGGAAACAATAATCCCCCCCCCAATTTTTTGAACCCCCCAAATTCAATCCCAGTCTTCCCTTCGTGGTATGGTACCTTGCAGTACAATTTCAGAGAGATCCATACACTTGAATACAAGTTATCGTCTGGAAACTGTAAAAATGCTTGTTTTTTGGCAACCTTTTTGGCCCCAAATTACTATACGTTTAGGGCAATTACCCCCAAACTCAAACCCAGCTTTCCCTTTGTGATATGGAACCTTGTAGTACAATTTCATAAAGATCCATACACTTACACACAAGTTATTATCCTGAAACTAGAAAAATGCTTGTTTTTTGCCCCTTTTGGCCCCTATTTCCCAAAATTTTGAGGCAATTACCCCAAAAATCAATCCAAGCCTTCCCTTTGTGGTATGGTACCTTGCAGTACATTTCAGAGAGATCCATACACTTGAACACAAGTTATTGTCTGGAAACTAGAAAAATGCTTATTTTAGGCCCCTTTTTTGCCCCTTATTCCTAAACGTGTTGGGCAATTACCCCCACTAACTCAATTCCAGCTTTCCCTTTGTGATATGGAACCTTGTAGTACAATTTCAGAAAGATCCATACACTTACACACAAGTTGTTGTCATGAAACTAGAAAAATGCTTGTTTTTTGCCCCTTTTTTGGCCCCTAATTCCTAAAATTTTGAGGCAATTACCCCCAAAATCAATCTCCCAGCATTCCCTTTGTGATATGGAACCTTGTGGTACAATGTCAGAGAGATCCATACACTAACACACAAGTTATTGTCTGGAAGTTACAAAAATGCTTATTTTTGGCCTCTTTGTCCTTAAATGTTGGTACCATAACCCCCAAAATCAATCCCAACCTTCCTTTTGTGGTATTGAACCTTATGGTAAAATTTCATAGAGATCCATTCACTTAAACTAAAGTTATTGTGCGAAAACCAATGTGTCTTCGGACGACGACAACAACAACCATGACAACGCCAACGTCGTACCAATATACGACCGCAAATTTTTTTTGCGGTCGTATAAAAATATATGTAAATCATTGTTTTACCTGTATAGGAATGAGTTTTAAGTGGCCAGTTAGGTCAATGAAATACAAAATGTAATGATTACTGGTGTCTCCCCTGTTTCACTTTTCAATGTTGACATTCTTTACTTTTTAATGAATGAACATGCTTAACACATGCGCAACCAATCTCTACTAAAGGTCAAATTAAAGGTTGCATGAAAACAGATTCAAATGAGGTTAAATTATGACTTCCAAGCCAAAAATAGATCAGCAATGTTTTTTTTTTGCTTATTTTGATGAAATTGAACCAAAATGACTGCCTGAATAACGAAATATTATTTATATATTCTGCTTTTATAAATATTTGGAGCAAAAAAATAATATTTAATTTGTTGTTTAATTAGTAGATAATCCCTTTTAATAGATAGAGAAAAACAAAACAGAATTGATCATGATGTTAAACAAGCAAATTGATGTCTACAAATACAAATCATTCCATCATTCAGTCTTGATAACTGCTATGGGGAGGGCCATTTTGGGTTGAGGCTTTTTTATTCTGATTTTAACTTAAACATCAATATGGCATATTTTTACATGATGAGTTATTCATACTCCTTGGAGCCTTTAGTTTCTTATGTCTTTACTTGAGAGACCAATATTACCCTTAAAAGTGTGAATTACTTTTTAAAACTTTCACTCAATTAGGGAATAAGTACTTCAATCTTTCTCCTACACACAATCTAACAATACACAGTGAAAATTAAACTCTGACACTTACAACCATGTGGATTTGTACTTTTAAATGTGACATCTAAAGGGAAATTCCATACAAACTGTTGTCGTTCATCTCTACTTTTCTTTGTCATCTGTGTAATACCATCTTCTAAGCCCTGTTCAAGATAAAAAAAAAAAACAACTGCATTTTTCATCAATTTCACTAAAAGAACTCATGTTACATAAACCAGGCCTTTATCAAACCTCTACTATGGTCAATACTTGTTGATACATGCTTGCCAAAATTTGCTTGAAATATTTGCTCTTAAAAAATTAACCCCTTCAAAACTTTGATAGCCGAAGAATATTTGTCCTTGAAAGATGGTTTTGACAGTTATGTATGTTTAAAGTAGCTATAGAGATGAATGACAATAGTTTGTATGAAATTTCCCTTTAGATGTTTCTTTTAAAAAAACGAGAAGCATGTGTATTTGCAAAATTTTGATAACATATTTTTATCAAATATAATCACAATATTATTTTATATGTAATTTCTGAATTTACAGTGTTTGATTGATTGTTGGTTACATTTTTAAAGTGGCAAATATTTCAAGTACATGTATGTTCAGGATAATTTAGAATTTATTCATCGTAAATGTTAATGTACAAACAAATGTATGCTTAAACAAAACAAACCCAGTTTGTGAACAGATGTGTACCATCAATACGGGTGGTTATACTTGTTCTTGTTCTCAGGATTCAGATATATTTTTGGTGATTAATGTTTAGGTAAGTCCTTCTTTGCCAGAGCAAACCAATAATATGATATTTGACATCACAACCATAATTTTTATAATAAGACTACAAATAAATGATTTTTTCCATTGATGTTCTCTCTTGAAACGTTTTAACTGAAAGGATAATCCATAATGGTTAGGAATTTTGGAGGCTTATACAGCCAATTGACCATATATTCAGATTCATGCATTCCAAAAAGGTCATTGTAACATTTGTACAGTTATTAATGTTATTATTGTATATGTTCAAAATATATAATAAAATCAAATTGCATACTGACAAATATTGTAAAAATATACTCACAGAAGTTATTAACCAATCTGGACCATAGTGTAAGCAGTATTTACAGTAAATATCATCAAAGCCTGGGAACTGAAAATCAGAAATGATAAGGTGAAAATTTTGTGCTCTTAAATAAAAAATAAAAAGTGACATACTTAAAATTTGATCTTGAATGGTATATACATAACTTATTTTAATCAAAATACATGTACATGTATAGGAATAATATTGAGGTATATATTGTTTTTAGTAACGTATGATTCAACCTGCAGGAATCTAATAAAATGTACAGTTATATACCTCTCCTTGTCCTTAAGGATGTTCGCTACTCTGTTTCAAAATAAAAAGCTTTTTAAAAGACTGTTATAAATAACGGAACTAAAAATTCAGAAAAAAATGAAAGGTCCATGTGCTTGTTTTTCTGATATAAGCCATTGAAAATTTGGCAGGAAATGATTCTCTCTAGATTTTTCATACAATTACATAGGCACCTTTTTTTTCAAAAACTATGAAAAAAATAACAAGGATTTTATAAGATTTTCAAATATGGCTTTTTAAACTATATGTAATAAAATTATGAAAAGATAAACTGCTTCGCTGAGCGCAGCTGGATACGCCCACAGAGGTCCAACCCTGAACAGTTGGGGCAAAAATGGACACAATATTCAAGCTTGATACAGGTCTGAATTTGGATTGTATTAAATATTTGACATATTATAGGTTTCTGAATAAATGTAGTCAAAGAACTTGAAAATTTGTTATATGAATTGAATTTATATTCAATTAAAGATTTCTTGCTGTTGTGTAATACACTGTGCTGTTGCGCAATACTTAGTAAATCTGTTGTCAGACTATAAACAATTAAAGTTCAATTAATTCTCAATGTCATATTAGAAATTTATGAAAATGTAAAGGGAGCTTACATCAATAGATATAAACAATTCACCAAAGTTTCATGAGAATTGCTGACAGCATTTTTGAGTTATTGTCTGAAAACTGGAAAATCCCCCCTTTTTTAATGAATAAAACCCCATAACTCAGAAATGTAAAATGTAAAATTTATAAAATTCTAAAAGGAGCTTACATCAATAGATATAAACAATTCACCAAAGTTTCATAAGAACTGCTGAAAGCATTTTTTGATTTTTTGTCCGAAAACTGGAAAATCCCCCTTTTTTTATGAATAAAACCCTGTAACTCGGAAACGTAAAATCTAAAATATATAAAAATCCAAAGGGAGCTCATTTCAATAGATATAAACAATTCACCACAATTTCTTGCAAGTTGGTGAAAGCATTCTTGAGTTATTGTCCGAAAACTGGAAAATCCCCCTTTTTTTAATGAATAAAACCCCATAACTCGGAAATGTAAAATGTAAAATTTATAAAATTCTAAAAGGAGCTTACATCAATAGATATAAACAATTCACCAAAGTTTCATAAGAACTGCTGAAAGCATTTTTTGATTTTTTGTCCGAAAACTGGAAAATCCCCCTTTTTTTATGAATAAAACCCTGTAACTCGGAAACATAAAATCTAAAATATATAAAAATCCAAAGGGAGCTCATTTCAATAGATATAAACAATTCACCACAATTTCTTGCAAGTTGGTGAAAGCATTCTTGAGTTATTGTCCGAAAACTGGAAAATCCCCCTTTTTTTAATGAATAAAACCCCATAACTCGGAAACGTAAAATCTAAAATTTATAAAAAACGAAAGGGAGCTGACGTCAATAGATATAAACAATTCACCAAAGTTTTATGCAAATTGGTTAAAGCGTTTTTGAGTTAATGTCCGACATGTTGACGATAAACGGACAGACGGACAACAGTATACCATAATATGTCCCGTAAACGGGCGTATAAAAAGTAAGGCTTAGTGGGCAAAATTTTTAATGGCACTACATGGATAAAACCAGAGGATTCCGAATATCTGACAAAAATTCAAAAACAAGAGGAGCGAACATCCTTAAGTCAAAGTTGATAAACCTTATATAAAAAACTTAACAAGTAGAACTGTGAGCTATTGTTCACTTATGATACCCCTGCTTCAGTTTTCAGGAATAAGGAAGTTGAAGAGAAAAGAATCTAAATACACATAACACAGTAAAGTATGTTCACATGAAGTCTGATAACAATTTTCAAGTAGCTCTAACTTGTAGTTTCCAAGAAAAATGTGACGAAACTTCATACATGGCCTAAATGTGTTAGAATAATATATAAGTATTCATCAAACAGGAAGTTTATGAGCTATTAATCTGGAACCATGTCACAAGGTATAACATGCTAATACAAGTGTATGAAGCTTGATAACAGATTCCGGGGAGCTTTTGTTAGTATTTCCCAAGTTAAATGTGACAAAAATTTCATACATGACTGTAATGATTAGAATATATAAGCATTTACAATGTAGTAAACAGACAGTTGATGAGTAATGAATCTGAAATTGTGTCACACAGAACAGCATGCTAAATAATAGCCTAAATTGATTGCAAAATTATAACAAGGAAGCTATTATTTGTATACGGACACAAGGACAAACAGGGGTAAAACAGTATACCCTCTCCTTTTGGAGGGGTGGTACAAACAGTTATTGGTGTTAAAGGTAGGCTAGGTATGATAAGAGCCATTCAAGCTCGGGGAGGGGGGCACTCACAAATTAATGAATGTTTGCAATGAGTCACTGGAATAAGTCACTATTTCAAGCTTTATATATGATTAATTCGAGAAATTGAGATGAAATATATAACAAGGTTGCTGATTGAATAAAAAGTATCTGAAACTAAGCAGATGTCATTTATTATCACAGATGCCAATAAAACTACAGTTATAAAATTAAATGTATCAGATATTTGTTAATGTATACATGCATATCACTCCATGAAATAGTTTAATGATGATAGATATAGGTACATTTTTGTCGAGCCTTCGACTTTTGTCGAAAAAGCGAGACATAGCGATCCTACATTCCCTCGTCGGCGTCGTCGTCATCGTCCGTGTCAACAAATATTCACTCTGTGGTTAAAGTTTTTGAAATTTTAATAACTTTCTTAAACCATCCTGGATTTCTACCAAACTTGGACAGAAGCTTGTTTATGATCATAAGATATTATTCAAAAGTAAATTTTTTTTTTTTAAATTCCATTTTTTCCGTATTTTACTTATAAATGGACTTAGTTTTTCTGCCAGGAAACATTACATTCACTCTGTGGTTAAAGTTTTTGAAATTTTAATAACTTTCTTAAACTATCCTGGATTTCTACCAAACTTGGAAAGAAGCTTGTTTATGATCATAAGATAATATTCAAAAGTAAATTTTGTAAAAAAAAAATTCCATTTTTTCCGTATTTTACTTATAAATGGACTTAGTTTTTCTGCCAGGAAACTTTACATTCACTCTGTGGTTAAAGTTTTTGAAATTTTAATAACTTTCTTAAACTATCCTGGATTTCTACCAAACTTGGAAAGAAGCTTGTTTATGATCATAAGATAGTATCCAGAAGTAAATTTTGTAAAAAAAAAATTCCATTTTTTCCGTATTTTACTTATAATTGGACTTAGTTTTTCAGCCAGTTAACATTACATTCACTCTGCGTTTAAAGTTTTTAAAATTTTAACAACTTTCTTAAACTATCTTGGATTTGTACCAAACTTGGAAAGAAGCTTGTTTATGATCATAAGATAGTATCCAGAAGGAAATTTTGTTAAAATTTTGTTCCATTTTTTCCGTATTTTACTTATAAATGGACTTAGTTTTTCTTCCAGTTAACATTACATACAGTCTGCAGTTTAAGTTTTTAAAACATTTATTAGATTCATAAACTATCCTGGTTTTTTACCAAACTTGGACAGAAGCTACTTACAATCAAAAGATAGTGTAGAGAGGAATATTTTTATTAATTTTTTTCCTCATTTTTGTTGAGCCTGCGATTAAAAAGTTTAATTTTGGACCCTTTTGACCTCAATATGAACCAATTTGATAGCGGGTCCACAAATAAAAAATCTAAATACATGGTTAGATTCAGCATATCAAAGAACCCCAAGAATTCGATTTTTGATGAAATCAAACAAAGTTTAATTTTGGACCCTTTTGACCTCAATGTGGACAAAGTTGATAATGGGGCCCAAAAATCAAAAATCTAAATACATGGTTAGATTCAGCATATCAAAGAACCCCAAGAATTCAATTTTTGATGAAATCAAACAAAGTTTAATTTTAGACCCTTTGGACCTCAATGTGGACCAATTTAAAAACGGGGCCCAAAATCCAAAAACTTAATACACGGTTAGATTCAGCATATTAAAGAACCCCAAGAATTCAAGAATAAAACCCCATTGAAATTGATCAAGAAATAAGCAATTTATACAAAGTATCTTCTTTTGCACAATACTGTGCAATTGAATATTTCTTGCTATTGTGCAATACTGTACAATTGACAATTTCTTGCTATTGCGCAATATTGTGCTATTGGATATATCTTGCTATTGCGCAATACTGTGCAATTGAAGATTTCTTGCTATTGCGCAATACTGTGCAATTGAAGATTTCTTGCAATTGTGCAATACTGTGCAATTGAAAATTTCTTGCTATTGCACAATACTTATTATATAATAATTTACACATCCTGTTTGGTGTGTATCTCCTACCATATCATTATTATTTGCTTTTAAATATTAATCAGAAATAACCAACTTAAAATGGAAAATTTTAAAAGAAAAAAAAAAGGAAAAAAAGAAAAAAAAAGAAAAAAAAAAAATCCCCCCCCCCAAATTTTTTGAACCCCCTTATGATTCATCACCCCCAAACTCAATCCCAGCCTTCCCTTTGTGGTATGGTACCTTGCAGTACAATTTCAGAGAGATCCATACACTTGAACACAAGTTATTGTCTGGAAACTAGAAAAAATGCTTATTTTTGGCCCCTTTTTGGCCCCCAATTCCTAAACGTTTCGGGCAATTACCCCCAAACTCAATTCCAGCTTTCCCTTTGTGATATGGAACCTTGTAGTACAATTTCAGAAATATCCAAACACTTACACACTAGTTATTGTCATGAAACTAGAAAAATGCTTGTTTTTTGCCCCTTTTTTG